TCAGCGCTTTTGTCGAGAATAAAATAATTATTTGACACACGTCCTTACAAACATTTATCTGCACTTCGTAACACGATTATGTATTCTTATCTCGTGCCAATTTCCAGGCTCAATTTCGCATTTTAAGTTTGCTCCTCGGTCCCTCAGGAAATTGCTGATACGCTGCCTCAATGAGAAATTCCAAAGTTCGTACGTGCCTCGCCGACTTAGGGATGGGAAATGGAGCTGTGTACTGGAAGATATTTGAATAACCGGTTAGACTTTGCCGACGAGAACGTATTCAGTTATAATGATACTGAAATAGTTTATCGTTTATATCATAACCTCAAAACGTTCTTCTCCTGTGAGATCACACAACTTATTGTTCGATACTACACTATTCAAGGATCATTTTACTCGCACACGCGGACTTTGCGATATTATTTTCTGTAATGATTGCGGATAAAATATAATTAAATAGAAGAAATAGAAACTATAATTAAATAGAAGAAATAGAAACGAAATATCTGAAAAATAAAATTCAAATTTGCGTTAATCGATAATCGAAAAAAAACTGCACATCACTGGTCGGCGTTTCGCTGAAAAAGAAGCTTCGCGGGATGAGTATTAATTCAAGGTTCGGGTAATATGCTAGGTAATAAAGAGTCGCTCGAATTTTCCCCTGCAATTGACAAACAGGGTTGCCAACGCTTCCAGAAGCGTTTGCCCGGTTAACTAGATCATTATAAATGTGTAGCAAACCTAAATGTAACTCCTTTCCAATCGAATAGAAAATTGCTTTACTACTACAGTACTGAAGATACATGAGCTCCAATTAAAATTGCTCGTTCAGAGTGGGATTTGTCGCTTGACGTACTCGGCCTTGTCGCGTTCGTGTCGGAGCGTAATTTTTTTACAACCCTGGATGTACCTACTTTTTCAACTTTTATTTTCTGTCGCTTCGTGTCATTTTTTTCTCGCAATTCATCACGATGCAATTAGAGATTTGCGCCTTTGGCGGAGCGCGATATTCTTTATTTCAATTAAAAATTTTCGATATGGTAGTGTACTTTCAGATTTAAGAGGTTTGCCTTTGTTAAGTGGATAAAAATAAAAACAGTTAATTCTCACATTAAATAAATGTTATAATATAACTCGTACAAATAATGAATATGGTTGATAATGTAATTAATATTCGTAACGTACAAAAAATTCACAGAGACAGCACATACAATGTGCGTCAACTTACTTGCTACAAACGAAGTAATTAATTCAAATTCAAATTATATAATTGTTACTTATGTTTTAGTTTCAACTTTTTTCAACGGTTATTACATAATGAAATAATGGCAATGGTACATTGAAGGCAATATGTTTTTCTTAGAAAATATAAAATAACTTCTCATAACTTACCTAGTTTTCGTAGTTTTATATTGTCGTAACAGATTTCTTTAAGTAATAATCCGGTACTAAACGCTGAAATGAGGCTTATTTAGATGCTCTTATTATAGGCCATACGGTGAAACAGTTATCGAAGAAATCAGATCCAAATCTATTTGATCCTATCAGGTCTAAGGTGAATCCATAGTAGACTTAACTTCCACAAGAACTTGAAACGGTCCTAAGTACATTTAGACTCTGATTTAGATTACACTCGAAAGCTCTATAAAATACAAATTCGCGGTAGTAACACATATAAGCATTCAGCGTCGTTGAAAGAAAATCACATCGCTAGCGGACATTATGTTACGAAAGCGTTACGGCCGATTAAATTAATAAATATGACCGCTCAATCCCGGGGCGGACCGGAATTTATTCGTGTTTATGGCCCCCCATAAAGCGCGGCTGAATAAAACAGCACAGCTATTAACTGCCACTCTCCGAACGCTTGCCCGGGGAACCGCCCTATATCCCGGTTATGTCGCAGTTAATCTCATGCTGCAACAGCGGTGTGCCACAGTTTTAATGCGCTGTCTGCCACAGTCGACCAGATTATCCGTTATGCTTCTATGAGTCAACGCAAACTTTTTTTTTTAAATGGAAAACTTGGGTAATCTAGCAGAAGGCGCACCTATACGAAGTGATCACCGCCGCTTATAAACTTCTGCAACACTGGACGACTTTCAAATGCTCTCACTTCTTTTAGCAAAAGCTGAGTTGTATGTAGATTAGAAAAGAGGTTGTCCGTACAAGAGAGGGCGGCAAACTAGCCACGCTTCGCCAATAACACGATATTCCATGACGTTTTTTTTATGTGAAAATTTGCCAAACGAGCAGACGGTTCACCTCGGTAAGTGAATACCGCCGCCCATGAACATCTGCTACGCCCGAGGGTTACAGATGCGTTGACCTTTTGAAAATTGGGCTCCGGCTACCTCACTCACCAGAAGAAACGCGAAAGTATTTGTCATACTTCCACTTTACGCTGGTCTTCTGTGAGGTCGTGGTACTTACCCGGACGGGCCTGCCCATTCGTGCAACATCCGAGGCTGCTGCGTGGCCCTACCACCGTAACATATTATATCCGTTGTTTTTAGTTCACCCAACTTTCTAATTTTATTAATCGTCGTGGTTTGCATTGCATGGAATTTCATGGAGCTAAATCTAATCAGTTTGAATAAATTTAAAATAAACGCACGTGATTTTTATACTTCTTTAGCCTTACAAAATAAATATAGCTCCAAAAATATACTACATTTTGAAAATGTTTTGACATTATTATTGATTTTTAATACAATACCAAAGGGAGAGTTCATGCTATTGATTTTATGTCGCTGTGTGAGCTTATCGTGAGAATTGACTCGCATCATTTTTAGGGTTCCGTACCCAGTAAAACGGGATCCTATTACTAAGACTACGCTGTCTTTCTGTCTGTCACCAGACTGTATCTCCGAATCGTGTTAGTTAGTTGAAATTTTCACAGATGATGTATTTTTGTTGCCGCTATAACAAGCAAGTAGTAGGGATCATAAAAAAAAATCTTCCCAGTGTCTATGTTATAGTCTGTGCTGGAAGTTGCAGGCTTACGGTCTGTGTCGCCTCTTGACGGTATGCTCTCATATTCAATTTGACTAGGATTGTATGTCCTTACGGTGTTGCAACGGTAGACTTCCCTTGAAAGTCTCACGCGGAAGCAACGTATTGAATGAAATATTTTTAAGGAATATTTAAAATAGGAAACGTTAAACAGTTTTCAAAGTTAACGAACAAAATAAAATCTGTTTACACTCGCCGTTAGTTTCAATGCTTAAAGCGTCCGCGGAAACTTCGAGTGCTTTACTTAATGCTATTTACTTTACTCTTTGAAGCGAATTTGCTCTTTGAATCACGTTTCCCGTTTTAAAATGTTGCGCCAAATATTTACATTGTGTTTAAAATGTAAGACTGGGCAGTAGGTTTTCAGGTTAAGCCTTTTAAGACGAACAACGGATGCACAGCCCAATCGAGCGAGGCATTTTAAAAAGTTTGTGTAATGAAATAACTTGAAGTGGCACTTCAGCGAACTGTAGAATGCCATTAGGAGACGGGAGTGCTAGTCAAGAGAAGTCACGTTTCTTCGGAACTATTGGATAATGAATCTTTGAAATGCTTTATTTCGAATCGTTCGAAAAGTTCCCAAATACCGATCTTGCCGATTCCAATTGCGGACTTCGTTTGTTAAGATTCTGAGAGTTCTAAGTCGTTATGAATGAAATAAAAGAATAATTACTTCGAGTTGGCGACGTCTTTTGCACGTTAGTTAAAGTAATGATCGATTTCAAATCTTATAGTTATCCTTATATGAAATGTTTTGGCTACGTGTTATATTGGCTTTAATGGTGGATGACAGTAACGTAGCATTAAATACGATCCCAATGCATACATTTATAATTAATTGATTTGGAGACACCATAAAAACACTATCAGATTAATTAATCAATTAAAAAAATACTCAGTCAAAGTTAATCTACATAACATTCATCATTAATTTGTGACTTCACTACAAGTATTCAATGAAATGGTTATAAAAAAATTGCTTTATGTAAGAACGTAAGAACCGTTTTTATAAAAAAAATATTCTCTCCATAGAATTTGCACTTTTCAGGGGAGGTTATTGATGAAATTAAAGCAGAATTTAATAATGGATCTCTCTACCGAAGACGGTAGGTACTCAGACCATTTATTTTAATGCTAATCTTAAAGGAACAACTTCTGTTTCGATCGATAAAAAAATACTGGCGTAATTTTTCACAGCCCTAATTAGACGTTCGCACGAAAAAAGCTATCTGAGGAGTGAATTAATTCGTGGTACAGGTAATATCGGGGCTTATTAAAGAGTCACTCGAATATTCGCACCGAGTTCATAATACGCGGGGCGAAAGTTAATTATTCTATAAAAATGTACAACACTCGTGGCAGTTTAAAAATATTATACTCAAGCTAGCTTAAACATGTATTTAATGGTAAAAGTCTAAATTTTTAACAGCTTTTTAGGATTGTATTCAGGGCCCGCTCTCTTTGTATAGTTTAATTGTCTATTCAATAAAATAAATCAAACCGGTCCACGAATGGTCTTGACAGAACCCGGTTTTTGTTGACCCAAAGGTGGAAGGGATAACATAACAAAAGCATTTCAGTATGCAATTTCTATATAATTATGCACAATTATATTGTGTACACTTACAGATACAAACAAAATATATTTATGGATTCTCGTTCAAGCAGTGGGACATCACAGGCTATATATTAGTTTGCTTTCATTACTTTTTACTCTCGAAAGGAAGCATCCCTTGTACCTCTCAAAATGAACTTTATTATTATGAAATGGACAATGCGTTCGAAGTCACACAACATCTAGAACCACAACAAGATCTAGAATAAAATTAATAAAGACGTACATATTATACAATTAACACTGTACAGAATCGAAGAGACGCAACAGGTAACACTAGTCCCGGGCATCATTAAAACCTCCCGGCGAGAGTAAAATCGCGTTCTACTTAAAGCGCCCGCTTTGCGGAGTTGCTTTTTGCCCCTCATCAAGTGTTTTCGTGGCGGTTTAAGCTCCAGTTACGCTGAAAGGGTTGCCGCAGATTAACGTAGCTCGGTTCTAGGCCCGCGGCGGGCTCGTTCGCGTTTGTGACGCGATTCAATGCTGAAAAGGCGATCAGAGGGGCGCGGCACTCGACCCGATTCCAGCGGGGCCAGCTGCGAATAGTTCGGAGAACTTTCCCCTGAGCTGTCGGTGCGTGAGTCGACTCCGAGCGATGTGCGGATCTGAGCTTTTGCATCGCTCAGAGCTGCTTATAGATGTGGCTGTAAGCGCTTTACATTTACTAAATCTCTTCAACGACTGAGTACTTTGATTTCGTTCGCGAGGTGGCGTTACATCGCGTGCGAATTTACATACCTTCCCTCTGGGAAATCCAGTCTGAATTACCTAATCTATTTATATAAGAAAGGAACTGGTGTTGTTTTTATATGTAAATTTTTTTTATCAGCGTAATGTGTTTCCGAATACTTTATGTATTCTAATCTTTTAATACATATTTATTGCGTTGGATCGCGATGAGTATGAAGCCTAGTTTTCGATTACATAATCTAAAAGGGCGGTATAATATAAGTTATATCATATAACCTAATTAAGTGATTACACCATACTGAAATTGTTACATTCGGAGGTTCAATATTTAAACTAATAAAGCGATAATTAATATGAAAACGTATCGATATGACGAATAAGTTCTTCCCACAATCTACATGTATGTATATGCTTATACCAACACACACGAGTGGCATACATTTGTGATATCCATCGCACTGGCCCGATAACTCAGACCATTCGATTTATAAATCGGAATATGAATATGCATTAAATGAATGCCCATCGCATTAGCGTCGGTCAGGCAAAATCGCCGTACATCAAACCGAACCCAAACGTATATTTCAAGACGCGGTCCATCTCGGCCGTAGCGTTTGCACATCAATATGCGAGCTGATATCTTAATCTGAGACTCGGGCCCGCGGGCGGAGACAAATGGAAGATAAAGGATACGTGCACGTCCTGTCGTCCTATTGTCGATACAGACATGACAGAATTTATTGCTAGCAGTCGTGAGAGGAAATGTAACGTTTTATATGTATTATTTACGGAATAATGTGGCATACCAGTAAGCGGGTCGCTTGATGTTAAGTGAGTACCGCCACCGTTGGACATTCACTGCATTTGTGGGGTTGTTAACTTTGCCAACTTTTAAGAGGCCCTCGGTTACCTCACACACGAGATCTAATCAACAATATAAATAATAATAATAATAAATATAAATATTTTAGGACACATTTTTTACACAACGTTCTCTAGTCCCAAACTAAGCAATGCTTGTACTATGGGTACCAGATAACTGATAAACATACTTAAACATACTTTTCTTTCGTACGGCTCCAGCGATTTTCATGAAATTTAGTATGTGCGTAGATTCGGGGGCGAAAAATCGATCTAGCTAGGTTTTATTTTTAGAAAAATGTCCTTTTATCCCTTTTTTCAGGGAATGAAAAATATCATTCGAATATGACGGTAAATTTCGCCGCAAAAGAAAATGTCATAATAGCTCGGTCGGTAATCGGGCGGCACCAAAACAGACGGCCGTGGTTCGTGTCACGATCAATTACACACTCTTTTTTTTACTTTTTTTTCGATTCCAGATCATAGCTTTCTTTTTTTTTATTTTTTGTCCATCTAGATGATTTTTTTCTTTTTTCCCTTTTTTTAAAGTTCTTTCTTTTGTGAAAAACACCAGTTCATATTTTCTTATTATTACGTCGGTAAGATTGAAAAATATTACGCATATTTCATTACTCAGTAATTTGTATCCAAATGTAATTTCCAAAATACACGATTTACCAAAAAAAAAAAAAAAGCAAACCGAGCAAAGCTCGGTCCTAGAGGTACTACATATATAAACACCCATACACTAAAAAAACACTATGTTCATCACACAATATTTTTCCAGTAGTGGGGATCGAACCCACACCCTCTGGCGCAGGAGGCAGGTACACTACTCACTAATTCATTTGTGTCGTCAAGTAACAAATATATAAATACTTTACGCCACTCTTGTGCTAGACGACGATGTTTTACGCGCAGAGCGGTTAGAGAGTTATGGAGAAAGATTTTAAAATGACCAGAGAACAAAAAAGAAAAACAGTTTCTCATGAATTCCATTTCATCGCGGTTTTTTTGTTCGTTACTAGTTATGTACTATTTATACCGATTCGATAGTACACGAATCTCTTGATTGAAACGCAGTTCTCAATATAATTCCATGATTAAACAACAAAATCATGGATATATCAATTGATATATGCGAAATAATTATTTGTAGTGATACACGATTTGAAATGCTGTGGACACAAATTTTCACACAATAAGGTATTCTTGTGGATTAGAAAGAGACAACTATGCTTTACAAATATTAATTAAGGTTATGTATTTTCAAATCAAAGCTTCAAGATAGTAGTATTTTTTTCATTTATTGCGTGGATTGGTCAGAAAGTAAATCGACGGTATTATTTCTCCGTCTCGGGCTAAAAGTAACATTCAGAATCGACCAATTCGATCCGTTACGCGAAAAATACACTTTGGAGTATTATTCTTTCTTGTTTCATATGGTGAGTGAGATATCCGCCCAATTTTTAGGGTTCTGTACCCAAAGGGTAAAATGGAACCCTATTTCTAAGACTCCGCTGTCTGTCTGTCTGTTTGTCTGGCCGTCTGTCACCATGAACCGTGATAGTTAGACAGTTAAAATTTTCACAGATGATGCATTTCTGTCGCCACTATGATAAGAAATACTAAAAAACAGAAACAGATAAAATAAAATATATTTAAAGTGAGTCCCATGCAACAAACGTACTTACCCATCTATATATATAAAAATTAATCCCTATTTCCCTTGGTCAAGCCATCACGCGTGAACGGCTGGACCCGTTGGAACCGCTAATTATTTTTTTATAATATTCCTTGAAGTAGGAAGGTGGTTCTTACGTAGAGAAAAATTTTAAAAATTGCCTGAAAAAGTCTAAAAACAAAACTTTTCTACATTCCCGTACAAAAGATTCGTAATAATACTTAAAAGTCAATTTGAACTTTAATACCATCATAAAGTTTAAGTGTTAGTGGAGGGGTTCCGGGAAGGCAAAACAAGTGAGTGACAGTGGTAAAATGTCACTTGAAATGTAAACGTCTCTTTGCTGTGCATCACTAAATAGAATAAACCAAAGTCGTCCCGCTGTCTTCTGTCCCTATGTACGCTTAGATCTTTAAAACTACGCAACGGATCTTGATGCCTTTTTTGCTACGTAGAGTGATTCAAGAGGAAGGTTTGTATGTATAATATATTGCACCCGCGCGAAGCCGGGGCGGGTCGCTAGTTAATTATAATAAATAATGGTACGGAACCTTTCGTGCGCAAGTCCGGCTCGCACTTGGCCGGTTTTGTTTGTTTATTTGGACATCCACAACACCCGGGTTTTGTGGATGTCCATGGGAGCGGTTTAGGCTTCTGACATAAAAAAAGATAAAATCCATAAATTATTACTATTATACTTAATTGTATAATACTTATTATAATTTATAATTGTTGTCTATTAGAAATTTTCATTTATTTATTTGAAAATAACCATTAATACAGTTATAATGCGCCTGCAATGACTGGAAAAACCTGGCCACTTACAAACCTTTGCCATGCAACAGCTGCACGGCGAACTTGTTCCTCAAAAAAAAAAAAATACTACGTAACCTTACAACGGTTTAGGCGCGTAATTCCTTACCTTGAAACGCTTGTTCGCGCCAAATGAAGTATACATCATCTGTTGCGGGTAAAAAGTGCGTGGGAAGGTATCCCGGTGCAGATTTCTAGATGAGAAGCATTCAAAACCGGTTAGGCTGTATCGTTTGTTGGCTATGTTTAAATCATGCAAGCTGACGTTACTTATCGCTTCGGTATCGTACTACGAGCTAGATTGCCAAAAGGGTTTCGAGTTGGAGTTAACTGATATATTGGTCTGCTTTCCCGATCAGCACTCAACTGGATTGATTAAATAAACATAAGGTACGGAATAATAGGGCGATCGCCTTTTTAATATTAAATTGTTCTATGTTACTGTAGACATACCTTTTAGGCTTTCCACGCCTTTTTTGAGTATATTTATTTATTCCTATAAAATTTATTTATTTATTTATTTTCTATATCGGAGACAAACAGGAATAAAAGACAAAATAAAAAATAAAAATTAACATACAGCATGCGGATATTTACAGCTGCTCCCTTAACTATATTACTGTACAATAACAAACCGATTAGGTTTTTCACGTCTTTTTTTTAGTATATTTATTTGTGCCAAAAAAATTATTTAATGTCAGTATATTTATTTTTTCCATAAATGTGTAGTAATGAAAATGCACCATGACCCATTAAACCTTGATTCAGTATCATTTTTGCATTTAGTCATAGATGTTTTAACATTTAATAATTTAATCATATGGTTTAAGTTGTGGAGGCATTGCACTGTAAGCACGCGTGGGTAGCTGTCCGCATATCTTGGAAGAGACAGGGCGGTTGCGTTTTCCAATAAAAAACTAACGTAAGATGGTTCCTTCAAACTGGTACAGTCACTGAGTTTAATATGAATATAAATAATACTCTACGTTATGAGCGTTTATAATCGAGAATAGATACAATTACATTCACGTCAAAAATGTACGTTATATTTTTTACTTAAATTTTTGTACTATTGATAAATGAAAAAAATATTGTGGTAGGCGTACGCAACAGCCATCCCTGTTGTACAAATAGACAGATCCGTCCGTACCACAACCTCACAAAAGACCGGCGTGAAGTGAAAGTACTTCTGCGTTTCGTCTGCTGAGTGAGGTAGCTGGGGCCTACTTTATTATAAAGTGGCAATGTATTTGCAATCCTACCTGTGTTGCATATGTTAATCGGCGGCAATTATCACTTAACATCAGATAATCACATTAAAAACACAGTACAAAAAGAAACATTTTCTTCTGCAACACTTTCCGCCTTTAATATGTTAAATAGTTTTCGTAGTGTAAATCTTTAAACATTTTTTGCCTTATTGGTACAGAATTGATTTAGGAAGATTGTGTACTAAAAACCCGTCGTTTACTTTATGGTACACAAATAACAATATACAGTACAAAGGGAATGACCAAGAGTAAACTAAACATTTCGGTAGCGTCGCATTTTTGCAACTTTGTATAATTTAC